CCAATCTCCCCACCTCGCTTGCACAACCTTCCTCCACAGCCTCCCCTCCTCCATGAGATATCTCCATAACCACTTCTCATGAAGAGCGTCATTGAGTGCTCTAATAGATCTTAAACCAAGACCCCCCTCCCTCATCGGTTTCTTCACCTCCTCCCACCTAATTAAATGATATTTTCTATTTCCCTTCTCATCACCCCAAAGAAATCTGCATTGAATGTTACTTATATTGCAAAACTATAATCCAAAAAACTTTTTCTAACTAAAATTCGTAATTAACTCTTCACTTATGAGAATCAAACGACTAAAATACTTTATAAACAACTCAACTAAATAGAAAATTATGCTATTAAAAATTGTGTCAGTTGCTTGAAACTTTTGGTGTTTCTTGGGCTCTTGTTGTCTCGCTATATTAAACTTAAATAATTTGCCTAAGATCATTGACCAAATTGCACTTTATCCCCTAGGATATGTGTCATGTGTTTTAGAACTGTGAACATCTATTTCTGCATTCTGCTGCAACGGTCAAGAATTTTGTGTCAGTTGTGTGATACTTTTGGTGTTTCTTGGGCTTCTCACAACAAAAATGAACATTTTCTTTCCTCTATTCTTTTGGGCTCAAATATGAAGCAAGAGTCTAAAGCATTTTTGCATTTTGCTTCCTTTGTTGGGATCAGGACAATTTGGCTTGAGAGGAACGCTAGAATTTTCATGAACACATGAGCACTTTAAAGAATTATCTTAGTCTTCTTTATATAGAGGCTCGTTACCTATTTCTTCCCAAGTATAGTTGACCTTTCTTCTCTTTTGTATTTTCTCTTTCTCTCTTACTGAGGATATCTAATCCTCCTCTTTTTATCATTCTTCATTCTTACTTGATGTTATTTTCTGGGAGGTTTTTTCATAAAATTGTTCTTATTACTTGAAGCAGAAGATTACATAAACATATGTAGGAAAAACTTACACCTAGAGACCTAATTTTCCATTCTAAATTGGAAATTCCTGAATAGATTTACAAAGAAAATTTGGGAGAATCTGGTAGAATAATACCGAATCTTTCTTATTCTAGAATTCAACTCCTTTCTAAATCTATAAGCAAAAAATCATAGCACTAATAATTTCCTAATACAAAATTCCACACTCCTCAAGCAGGGTTATAAATGTTGAACAAACACAGCTTGCTACTCAATTCTTCAAACTTGGTTCTTGGAAGGGCTTTAGTGAGAATGTCTGTAATTTGAGACCTCATAGGTATATAGATTACTTGTACAACCAAATTTCAATTTTCTCTTATATAAAATATTGGTCAATCTCAATGTACTTTGTTTGATCATGGCGTACAGAATTCTTACCAATGCTAATAGTTGCCTAGTTATCACAGAATAGATTAATAAGTTCCTCAATCATTATCCTCAACTCACCAAGAAATCTCTTTATCCCCGTACCGTCACATAAGCTCAACGCTAAAGCTCTAAATTCAAATTCAGCACTATTTCTGGAGACAACAGTTTGTTTTTTATTTTTCCAAATTAACCAGGTTTCCTCAAACAGAAGACAATATTCAGAGTGCATCAGAGAAAACTGAAATGTTCGGGTTGACTTATTTCTTGTAAAGTAAGCGTCCTGTCATGTTGAAGAATCTTAAGATTCTGTATACAGCCTTCATAGTGTTCTTCAGTTGGATTATACATGAACCGACTTACAATAATAATTGGAAACCCAATATCAGACCGAGTGGAAAGACATATGAGTCTTCCCACAAGTCTCTGGTATCTCCCTCTATCCATCGGTCCTTTCTTTTTCCATTCCTATCCGTTTATCCATCATGGTGTTCGTAGATTTACATCCTAGCATGTCAGTCTCCTTCAATAAAGTCTTTACTTCAAAATTTCGTTGCAATAAACTTCTTCAACTTCAACAATTACTCTTCATAATCACCCATGAGTATAACGTCATCAACATAAACTATAAGTATAGCAATTTTATTTTTTAGAGATGGTTCACAAAGAATGTGTGGTCAGCTTGACATTGAGTGTACCCATTTCTCACCATTGACTTTGAGAATTTATCAAACCAGACAAGCGGTAATTGATTTAGGCCATATAGCAATTTTCCTCAGTTTTCAGACCCTGCTGAAGTTGAGATTTGTTGCAAGTCCTGGTGGAACATATATGTAAATCTCTTCCTCAAAATCACAATTTTTTTTTTAGAGAAAAGAGTAAGGAATATATTGAGTGTAGGCACCAAGGAGGTGCCGCCTACTTATAAAAAATTTACAAATCTAAGAACATATTTATAATAAAACCAAAATCATCAAGGGAACAAAGGTGACGTCCGAGTATAGTGGACCCAAAAAAGTGAAACCATTTGTCATTGATGTTTCCAAAATTATCCTCTTTACTCTTAAAAGCACGTTGTTTCTTTCTTTCCATATGATCCAAAATATAGTAAGAGGAATAAGTCAATATTTCTTGTTTCTTTTGCATAGAAATTCCCAAACTTTCAATTCGCCTTGTATGGTGTCCGCAGTACTCGAGCTGGTGCCAAGTAACCCAAGGACCATGGACCACAGTTTGTGAGTGAAAGGGCAATGGAATAAGAGATGGTTACATGACTCAGCATTATCTTTATAAAGAAAGCATCTATTAGCTAGAATAATACCTCTTCTCATGAGATTGTCTAAGGTAAGAATTCTTTCTTTGGTAGCTTCCCAAGTGAAAAACGAGACCTGAGGAGGAGCAGTACTGTTCCATATCATTTTTTATAGGAAATCCGGGCTCTTTGTTCTGTTTTATGGGGCCAAATGATGGTAGAAAATCTTGACAGAGAAATTAACATTATTAGCAATGGACAAGTGAAGCTTATCCTCATTATCTGTGAGCTTTAATGCTGATAAAAGGGTTAATAAGCTTTCATATTCTGATTTCCCAATCCTTCAAATTCCTAGAAACCGCGATGTTCCAACCGTCTCCATTAACAAAGTCATAAGTATTCTCGACCGGTATATTCTTGTCCATGGATATTGCAAATATGAGAGAGAATTGATGCTGAAGCTTAGAAGAGCCGCACCATTTATCGGTCCAGAATTTAGTTTTATTTCCTCTGTCAACAACTCAAGTTAAGCAATCAAAGACCAAGTTGCTAGTGCTAGAGATGCCTCTTCACAGGCTTTTACCGTAAGTATTAGAGTGTCCTCTGTGGTGTAAACATTTACCACTGATATTCCACTTGCAGTCAACAATTCTTTTCTACGAGTTATCACCCTCATTCCAGAATCTCCAAATCCATTTATCATGTAGGGCTTTATTCATAGTGGTTAGAGATCTAAGACCAAGTCTCCCATGATTTTTGGGCAGTTTCACGTCCTCCCAGTTTACAAGATGAAATTTCCTTCAGTTGTCCTTGCTGCCCCAAAGAAAATAGCGTTGAATTTTTTTATAATCTGTTAGCAACATCTCCCAACATACTATCTCACTGTTCTCAACATCGATTGGAAAGTGTGGTTTTTATGAGGGTTAGTCTCCCTCCTTTGGAAAGCAAATCCTCTTCCAATTTGCAAGCCTTTTCTCAAATATATTTGGCCGGTTCCCAAATTGCACCATCTTTATTGTTAGCACCAAGCGAGACTCCAAGATATTTAATATGGAGCTGTGACACATTGCAGTTTAATACCCGGGCCAATGACTCTGTGTCGATATTTGACACCATCAGATTTTCCCAAATTGATGTGAACTCCGGAAACTACTTGAAAGCAGAAGAGAATAATGTTAAGTGAAGAAGAGTGCTGATATCTAATTAGCAGAATAGTAAGGTATCATTGGCAAAAAATAGGTGCGTGATCTCCATTTTTTCAGCTTGTCCAACAGTGATACCCTTGATGAGATCAAGAGTTCTGGCCTGCACTAGCATTTTATCAAAACTTCCATTATTAAAATAAAGAGCAAAGGGGAAAGTGGGTCACCCTGTCTCAAACCTTTGGAGGCAGTGAAAAAAGCTGAGGGTCCACCATTAATCATGGCTGCAAAGCTAGTAGAGGAAATACAGGTTCTCATCCATCTCCTCCATTTGATGCCATAACCAATTCTATCAAACATATAGTCAATGAATTCCTAGTTAACATTATCAAGTTTATATAGGAGTTCACTGTTCTTGTTGCATCAACCACTTCATTTGCAATCATAATAGCGTCGGTAATTTGCCTCCCTTCAATGAAAGCATGCTGGTAGTCGCCGATGATAAACTTAAGTGATTTAGAGAACCTTCTGACCAATACCTTTGATAAAAACTTGTAAACTGAACCGATCAAGCTGATTGGCTTGAAGTCAGTGATACAATTGGCCCCTCTTTTTTGGGGATCAAAACAATGAAGGTGGAATTTATTGGTTTCACAAAGGAGCCATGCCTGTTGAAGTCACTGAAAAAATTAAGCACATCCAATTTTACCTCATGCCAGAAGCTTTGGAAAATTGTCATGTTGAAGCCATCGGGACCGGATGCTTTGTCACCATCACAATCTTTTAAGCAGGAATAAATTTCACCTTTGGCGAATTCAGATTCAAGTAGTCTCCGCGCAGGTTCCCCAACTTTGTCAAAACAGAGATGATCTAATTTTGGCCTGTAGTGAACATCTTTTGTGTAGAGAGATTGGAAATGTGTTTTGGCAGCCTCATGCAGAGCCTCATTCCCAGTGATACGAGTCACCATTAACTAGTAGTTTTTCACGTAATTGGCCCTTCTGCGGTGGCTGACCAGGTAATGGAAGAATTTAGAGTTTTTATCCCCCTCTCAAATCCATTTTTCCCTAACTTTCTATTTCCAAGAGATGGCTTCCCAGTGCATTCTATTACCCAATTCCACTTTGAGCACATTTCTTTTATCTC